ATTCTAGTTGGAGATCAAGTCAACTAGTTTCAACAAAAGGAAACTCTTGGATGTCAATTACTTCATTTCTTTCAGTAACTGAAAACACAGGAAGACCTAAAGACACCCAAGACACAGTCAACGAAAATAGCAATCTTTTATACCGTTTGTGTATATTAGTGTGTGTTTAAAGTGAATATAGACCCCTACAGGTAGGAAAAAAATCCTGCCAATCTGTACAGTGTACTGTTCCCACTTGCTTTACCTGCTTTTGGTTCATGGCTGATCCAAAACATTCATATTTCACACCAACCCCAAACAGAGTAGCTGTGGAAATGATTCAGTAGATCTGCAATTTGGGATTAACCTCACAACTGGTTCTTATCTGTTTATACACCAATGATTCAAGCAAATTGAGTGAGAATTTAAAAGTATAAAAAAGCATGTCTTACCATCCATATCAAAAATTAATTTGTAACGGCAGGATAAATACAAGCTACCAATGCTCAAGTTTATAGGCTAATGATCCATAAACATCTCATTGTGCCACTTCATTTTCCAATTAATTGCTGAAATAAAAATGCAATGCAAATGTACTGTAAATATACTCTGGTGAGGATATCAATTGTCAGCAGAAGGGTTGTCATTTAAGAATAAGAAAACCTGAAGTAGACACAAGAATTGATAGCAGTGTCAATCTATAATGTAGTTAGCTGTTATATCAAATTTGTAACTAAATTACATTGTTAAATTTCAAGAAATATTTGCCTGACCCACTAAGTTCACCTGAGTTCAGGCAATCAAAAACCATGATGTAATATCGTATCTGGAAATATGCCTTGTTTCCTTCATGTAGAGCATTTCTTAACAGTTGCACCTACAAACTTCTAAGTTAAATCATGCATTAATTAAACTAGAGGAATAATTTAAATAAGAGCATGAAAAATATTTGTCAAAATTCAACATCCTTTCATGATAAAAAATGTTAACGTTTTAGGTACAGAAGGAATGTACCCCGATACAATAAGGGCCAGTGTGGCAAACCCATAGCCCACACCATTCCTAACAGTGAAAAGTTGAAAGTGTTCCTTTAAGATACCCATTCTCATCACTTCTTTTCAGCATAGTCCTGGAAGTCCTCACCAGAGCAATTAGGCCACAGAACAAAATAAAAGGCATCCTAGTAGGAAAGGAAGTAGTGAAACTGCCTCTTTTTGCCATTGACATGAATTTACACAGAGAAGACCATAAAGTCTCCACCAAAAATAAAAAACCTATTAGACTGATAAACAAATTCTGTAAAGTTGGAAGATACAAAAACCAGTAACATTTCTATACATAACAATTAACTACCCAACAAGGAAATTAAGAAAATAATTTCACTCGCAAAAGCAACAAAAATAGGTACGAATTTAACCAAGGAGATTAAAAAAATAGCCTTTTTTCTGAAAACTACAAAACACTGATGAAAGAAATTAAGGAAGTAAAAATAAACTGAAAGATGCTGTGTTATGGATTGGAAGAATTAATACTGTGAAAATTGCATAATGACTCAGAGTAACCTAAAGATTCAATGCAATCCTTACCAAAATCCTAATGTCAATTTTTACAGAAATGGTAACAAAAATCCTTAAATTCATATGGAACCATAAAAGCCCATGAATAGCCAAAATGATATTGAACAAAAAGAGCTAAAAGCATTATGTTCCTTGATTTCAAAACATATCATAAAGTGACTGTAATCAAACCAGCATGGTGTAGGTATAAAAACACACATTGACCAATGGAACAGGATGAAAAAATCCAGAAATAGACCCACACATTTTTGGTCAATTGGATTTTGATAAAGGTGCCAAGAATTAACAATGGAGACAGGACAGTCTTTTCAATAAGTAGTGTTGGGAAAACTAAGAATGTCCACCTTCAGAAGAATGAAACTAGACCCTTATCATATACCAAACACAAAAATCTTCATCAAAATAGGTTAAATACTTAAATATAAGATCTGAAATTGCCAAACTACTGGAAGAAACCAGAGGGTAAATGTTCCATGACATTAGTCTGGACAATGAATTTTTAGACATGATCCAAAAAGCACAGGCAATAATACCAAAAACAGAAAAATGGGATTACATTAAACTAAAAAGCCTGTGCACAGCAAAGGAAACAACTAACAAAGTGAAGAGACAGCCACGGGACCCGAGGCTGTATTTGCAAACCATACATCTGATAAAGGGTTATTGGCCAACATATACAGCGTAACTCAATTCAATACTAAGAAAGCAATTAGCCTGATTAAAAAATGGGTAAAGGACCTGAACAGGTATTTCTCAAAAGAAGATACACAAGTGGTTAACAGGCACATGAAAATATGCTTGGCACCATTAAGCATTGGAGGATGTAAATTAAAATTATGACCAGATATCACCTCATACCTATTAGAATGCTTTTATCCTAAAAAATGAAAGATAAAATGGGCACACTGCATCCCAGCACTCAGGAGGATGAGGCAAGAGAATCATGAGTTCAAGGCCAACCTAGGCTACACAGTAAGTTCAAGGCAAGCCTGAGCTTTGTATGGAGACCCTGTCTTAAGAAGAGAGAGATGTGGAAAAAGGGATATATGGTTCATGGAAACATACATGAGTAAAGCCATTATTGAAAATGGTATTGTAGTTCGTCAACAACCTCAAAATAGAATTACTTTATAACCCAATAAAATAACATCAATATATAAAAGAGACATCTGCACCTCCATGTTTATTGCAGCAGTCACAATACCCAAGATACAGAACCAACCTATGTGTGGATGAATCAATGAATAAAATGTGGTATATATATACAAAATGGAATACTATTCAGCCATAAAAGATGGAAGTCCTGTCATTTGCAACAACATGCATGAAACTGGAGGACATTATGTCAAATGAAATAAGCTAGGTACAGAAAGACAAATGTCACATGATCTTATTTATACCTGGAATCTAAAATCTTGAAGTAAAGGCTGGGTGGTGAGAGCAGAGAAATTGGGGAGCTATTGATCAAAAAGCACAAAGTTTCAGACAGACAGGAGGAATATACTCACCTGTGTTGCACAGAAGGGTGAGTATAATAATGACGTATTACATGCCTCAAAATAACTAAGAAAGTAAATGTTAAATTTATCACCATAGAAAAGATAGATAAGCAAGGTGATGGATAGGTTAATTATCTTGATTTAATCATGCCACATTGTATACATAGACCCATTTTACACCTTGTAAACTCAATAAGTACATATAATAATGTTTGGTAAAATAATACTAATAGTAAATTCTTAACTAATAAAATTCTTTATTTAGAGGGAAAAATTATTTTGTGAGCCACCTGCCCCTAATTATTTCCTTTTTAGTTTGACACAACGTTTCCTTAAAATAGTACACTTCTGAAGCTCATTAAAAAATGATCAAGAAATGGAAAAGTCATTCACTTTACAGTCCCATTAACTCATTACCACCCTGAGGACAAGCATCATGACCAATAACCTATCTCATAATAGCAACACAACCAAAGTATCTTTTTTAAATGACTTTCACTTCTTGTGGAGAATTGTGTAGATACCACTGCCCAGAACAATCAGGACACATCTACTGTCACTCTTGGAAACAGTCATGAGTTCAATCAGCCTGGTCAGGGCATCAGCCAGGTCAGAACATAACAGGTGAATTAGCTTTTCCTGCCACCTCCCAACACACAAACAGAGAAAGCAGCGGCTTCCTGTCTCTCTACCCTCTCTAGTTCCATTTGCGCTTAAAAGAACACTGGTTGCATTAGAAACCAAGTTTCTGGAGTCAATTTTCAGCACTATGAGAAAAGGATTAGGATGAAATGGAATCCAACAGGTAAATCCCCAAGTACAATATTGAAAATTTACCCCTCGTGTCACTGCTAAAATTGGCAGCCTCCTTCACCACTGCTAGGGGCTAGCTGCACATGGACTCTTACAGTAGCTTTCAAATAGAGTGACAAAACCTCAGATATTTTGGATGAAAAAACCCAGTTTATAAAACCAATCATTTTAGCTCCAACTCGACCATAGGTAACATAAAAGAACTGTGGTGGGAGTCACTTTTTTGTTTTGTTCTGTTATCTTTAAGAAATGGTTTCTTTCTCTCTTGAGTTCAAAGTAGTTTCAGAACCAAGATGCAGAAAATTAAGCCTTTCTAAAAGGTTTAAAAGGTTTAGTGCTGCCTCGGCAAATGCAGGGGATATTATGCTTTGGAAACCAAAGGAGGCTCCAAAGACATCTGTGCATTTTAAAGAGATACGTTTAAATGACCTAGAAAGATGTCTCCTGCAACGTGAAAAAGCACCCAATTCAGAAGGTTTAAGAGAGGTTGGGGAGAGTTTTGAGTGAAAAGGGAAAGAAAGCATTTGCTGCATTTTAAATGCAAATAAAAGTCACTGATCCATGCTACTGTCCCCAACACAGTGGAAAAAATTCTCAAAATAAAGGCACATTTATCAGTGCTCAAGTTAACTGTCATCAGGCCTGCTTAGGGACAGGATATTTATTTTTTTTAATGTTGATTTTCATAATGAATTTTATTTCTTCCTGAACATAAGCTGTTAACTGCATTCAAAAACCATTTGGATGCCTTTCCGGAGCTATCCCTAGTATGAAGCAGCATACAACCAGGAAAACGTTCAAGGTCAAGATCAAAGACTCTATTTTTATCCAGTACAGAACAGATTTATTTCACCCTGGCTACTCCAGGTCCAAAGGAATTATTGTTTCTCTCCCTCCTTTGACCCCTCTTCCCGCCCCCCACCCCAGCCATCTTTAGGCCTGCTTGTCTGAGAGCTGTGTAAAATAAAAACAAATAGAAGGGAAGAAACACACATCATAATCTCAGGGCAAATGTCAACTCCTCCTCCCCCTTAGCCCCCTCTGCCCTTTCTACTATGATTGGTCAATTGGTCATTCATAACACTCTCTGAGTTGTCCCAGCCAAAGCACTCCCCAGCACATACTGACCCACCATTCATGCCACTGTAGACATTCCGGTGATGGGGTGACAGCTCCTCTTGCACCTGCCGTCTTAGGGTGCCCTCCCTGCTGCCTCCACCACTGCCTCCTCCTCCTCCATGCTTGTGATCAGGGCTCCCCCCATAATGCTGTTTGAGATGCTCGGGGCTCGTGCCCCTAGCTCTGGGTAGGTGCTCCAGGCTCCCACCAAGCGCCTGTTTCTGAAGATGCTCCGGGCTGCCCCCCGGCCGCTGCTTCTGGAAATGTTCCGGGCTTCCACTCGGGATGTGCTTGGGCAGCATTTCAGGGCTGCTTCCTGGCTGCGGGTGTCTTTGCTGTTCTGGGCTGCCCTTGCATAAGGGCTTGTGGTGCTCAGGGCTGTGTCCTTTGAGTGCTTTGGAGTGATCTGGGGTCCCAGAGGCCCTGGGTTTCTGCAGGTGGTCAGGGCTGGCACTCCTGTGCTTGGAGTGCTCTGGGCTGCCCTCACCCCGGGGCTTCTGCAGGTGCTCGGGGCTGCCACCACTTGCGTGATGCTTGTGGTGGTCGGGGCTGTCGGTGCTGCCGGTGCTGGAGGTGCTGCTGCCGTCGCCCACATCCCGCACATAGGGTGCGGTGGAGGCAGTGAGTTGGCACAGGCTGGCCTGGCTGTCGATGGAGCAGCGGCTGCCCGCACAGCCTGCACCCTTCTCCTCATCCAGCAGCACACACAGTTCCTTGAGCTCCATGTTCTCCTTCACCACCTCCTCCTGCTTCACTTCCAGTTCCTTCAGCTTCTGCAGGTATAAGGCCACTTCCTTGTGCATCACCCCAGCTGTGTAGCGGCCCAGTCTCTGCCACTCCCGGGATACCCTCTTGCCTTTCTGCCGGTCATCATCCAGAAAACAGCAGAGGTCCCTCAGCTCCTGGTTGTCCTCCTGGAGTTTCTGGTTGATATCCTGAAAAGAGAGAGACAACCTTTCATGGGAGGTACACCCAGGAGGTGCCATCAGGCTCTGACTTCCTGGGAGCTGGAGAGCCTAAAATTGGTAAAGTCTCTGGAATTTTCTGGAAGGAGGTGAGAGGGTGGGGAGAAGCTGAAAGCTTGAAGCAACCCATGATTTTCAATAGTATCAGTTCTGTTCCCTATACAATACTTTAATTATTTCATCTAGTTTTCACCAAAATGGGATAATAATTATGGTTCTGGCACAGAAAGACAAACTGAGCCTAATGAAGCTTTTCTTGTCTAAGATGATGCAGTCAGTTAAAAAACAGGAAAGTAGTCCAGGGAAAAATAAGGCTGTCCCGCCACACACTCAAGAAAAAAAGATGGCTGCTTTGAAACCTCTCAAATGCCTAGGAGCTCTGAGGCAACAGGCCTTTCATCAAAGTGAATGAAATGCTGTTTAGGTCTTCAGACCATGAAATGGGATGAGCAGTCCCAGTCCCCCCACTAGGGAAATACACAATTGCTCTCTTGTGGCATTTCAGTCCTGCACATCCAATCCCCACTGACCATTCCCACATGGAGGTCTTCCAGGCGTCTCACACTTAAAATAAGTCCAACGAGCCCTTGACATCCAAACACCCTTACCCAAATCCTACCAGCAAATGCCACCTCCACTCACTCCATTACTTTTTTTTTTTTTAATGGCACTGGGGGTTGAGTTCAGGTCCTCATGCTTGCTAGACAGGCACTCTACCACTTTAGCCCCTTCAGCTAGTCCCACTCCCTTCCTCTTTATGAGAACCTGGGGTTATCCCTGGTATTTCTTCCCTCACCTTCCACTTTTTCTGAGCCAAACAAGTCCTCAGAATTCAACCTCCAAAATTTAATTTGTCTTTCTGCTCCTATGTTAAAAATGCTTTAATAGTTTCTCATTGCCCCTAAGACACAGGGGAAAATCCTCCAATTTTCACAAGGCTCTGAAGTGGTCTACTTCTCCAACATGAACGATGATTCATTCACTCACAAAGATGTAGCGAGCATTGATTGTGAGCCAAGCACTGGTACACGTGGTAAGGATATGTCAGTGAACACAACAGAGACCCTGACATCCCACAGCATTCATTCTGGTACAGAGTATCAAAATGCAAGTATAGAACATAATGCCACATAATGAAAAATATTGGGGAAAAATTAAGCAGGTTAAAAAGTACAATTTTTAAGAGAAGAAAAAATTAAGCAGGTCAAAAACACTATTTTTTAAGAGAAGGCAGAGAATGAAAACATTTGATCAGAGAATCAAAACATTTGGGTGAAATGAAAAATCAAGCATGTGAGTGAGGATTATTCCAGGCAGGGATGGGGCAAATACAATGAAACAACAGGTACCAGCAAGGAGGCTATGCGACTGGGCGGGTCCAGGTAGCAGAAGAGAAGGAAAGCATCACACACTGAGTGCCACCACCCTTGGCCTTGTTTAAATATTCAAAAAACAAAACCTTGCCCTTTCACTCTCAATCCTTTCCTCAAGTTTCTACATAACTGTCAGGGCTCATTTTATAAGTCACTGTGCAGAGAAGCCATTCTAGAGAATGAGCACCCCACCTAAATAAAGTCCACTTCTAACCTCTCCATCACCCTTTAGACTTTCCATCTGTGGTATGTGGCTACAATATAACAACCTATGTATGAGTGTGCCTTTTAGTTCAAGTCTCAGTCCCCACTAGAGTCATGAGAATGGAGGCTTCATCTATTCTATCCCCCTGTGCATTCAGAACACAGTACCCCTTCCGTAGACAATTTAAATTAAGGGATTTACAAGTACAGTGTGGGGCTAGTGGAGTGGCTCAAGTGGTAGAGTGCTTGCCTAGCAAGCATGAGGCCCTGAGATCAAACCCCAGTACTGCCAAAAAAATAAAAATAAAAGTGCAGTGCGAACTTCCCCCTTATTATCCATTTGTACATACAGCAAAGGAAGTGGCATGGTTTGGTAGAGATGAAATAGGGGTGGCCATGGAGTTGCTACCAAAGACTTACCCTAAGACTCACTCAGATTTACAAAGCCTGAAAACTCTGGTTTTACAACTATCATCCATTGCAGAACTAGAGGTACTCTGAGAGGGACTTGCTTCTTTGAAACTAGGGTTGATTCCAACACTTCCCCTGATTCTGACAACAAGAAAAATTTTAAAACATCTGCCAACCAAATCACTTCCTGACACTCATGAAGCCTAATTTCAAAGGGAATTTTGAAGCCAGAGGAAGAAGCCCATGCAGTTTAGTTTTCAACTCCAGTTTTTAACTATTTGCCTTACTAACAACTCTGTTTCCTTATTTCTAATGCCCGCCTTTTTCTGTTGTTTCTCCTGGGCACTTTATGACCCCAGGCCTGACCTTCCGCAATAGCCTCCCATCTGGCCTCCCTGCCTTCATCTTGCCCATCCAGTCTTCTCTTGCCCAATCTGATCGAAGCACTCATTGACCAGACCGATGTTCAAAAACATTTTCCACATGCTTTGCTTCTCCTGCCTACCAACCCCCAACACCTCCCCTTTGCCAAAAAAATTAAACCTTTGGCCAGGCCTGAATGGCCTTCTTCTCCCTTTCTCCTTTTAGCTCCCTCTCTGGTGAGTAATTATGAGCCCTAGGTAAATCTGTGCATTCCAGCTAGAAAATGTCACCCTACCCATCTAAACTCAATGAGAAATTCCTGAGAAGTTTCTCCCTAGCACCCAAATACTACTCAGGAATAATAAATGCAGTAACTTTCCCACTTAGTTAATGTTCAATGTGTGAAATGAACTTAAGCATTCATTGCACAACATTTTCTTTCTCATGTGGCTGCCTTAACCTTCTGGAAGACAGATGTCTGATGTCTTTCTTTGCATAAGCAAGATACCTATCATGGTACCTTGCATACAATGCAAAGCCCTAGGCCTGTGACCCAAACTAGCTACAGCTAAAGCTACTACGAAAAAATCTATTACTGTTTTCAGAAAGTTTCTGGTCTACATTAGGATGAGGGAAAATTATCTTTCCATACTAATTCTTTAAGAGAAACTCAGAAGCTCTGGATATTCAGAGAAAATAGCATTAAGCAAAATTAATCTTTCTACACTTTAAAAATTATTCCATATTTCATTTACTCCTGGCATTTGATAGAAAATTCAAGTCATGTCTTCTTCAGAATGAATTTCCATCTGAAAACACTTCCTTTTGACTATCCTACAGCTATTCCTAATTTGTCAAGAACTGAAATGCAGACAGGACTGGGCTTTATGGAGTAACCATCCCTCCCAAAGGAAGTGAAATGGCCCCTTTTCAGCATTATCCCAGTTTCTTCTTGTTATTTTCTTGAGAATGTTATTTACTCTCCAGTTCTGAGATATTTCCTTAATCCTCTGATGAACAGCTAAGCAACCAGCTTGATAACAACCTTATTAGCCAGTTTCTTCAAATCTGCCACATTAAGACATGGACTTTGTTTTTCAAAACAGTTGATGTTCTTTTATCATCTTCACAGTCCTCCAGATATTATCAAAGTGTCTAAAGTGGACTTTTAGAAGTTTAACTCCACCTCATAAAATATCACCCAAGATTTCAATTGCATGCTTGTAAACTACCAAGAACTATATCTATGGTTAAAGAAATATTGTTTTTAATATGTTCTTTTTCTTCATTTCATAATGGGGTGGTGTTAGGGAGCAGGTGGGGAAATTAATGCAAGGCAGACAATAATTCTAAAGATTCAGTTCCCTAAAATCAGCTTCCCACCAGAATTCTGGGTCAGAGTAACGTGCATGTTGGTATATGCTCAGAGTCCAATGAAATGATTCTCAGGAATCCAACCCCTTATAACATCAGCACCCTCAACAAAGTCTCCTTTCTTAATCACTTTTGGGTCCACACACTCTAAGCAAAGAATGTCAACTAGCTAAAAATAGTCCACTTTCAGCATTACATCTGTGTGACCTTGAGAAAGCTATCTAACCTCACTGGGGTTTCTGTTTCTACCATCTAACCTTCCTAAAACTCCATGTGGAATTAAAATCCCAACTGAATAGATCATAAAGTGGAGGCTCAGAGAAGTCAACAGTTTTCCCAAACTGACCAGATTGTACAGTTGGACTCCCAACTAGTAGTCTTAAAAATATGTAGATGTAATTTCAAAGTCAGTTCACAGAAAGGGGGCATAAAAATAATACATCTTGTGACATTGATCACCCTATATTTACATTCTTCAACTAAGAATGCTAAACCATCAGAGGCAAAAACATAAAATCCCTTTCTTCCAGGTAAACCACAATAAGTAAATATACCTATCATTTATTCACTCAATCTTATTTATAGATCACTGTGGTGTCCAAGGAAGCTTTGAGCCAAAATGATGAAAAGGGAGAAGAGCATTAAAACCCCAGCATCTTCAGGGTGATCCAAGGCCCTTTGGAGCCAACCAACTTGAAGCTGCCCAGGGATGATGCAAAAGAAGTAAGTCCATGGCAGAAGATAACTAGGCTCCATGGCCTTCTGAACTTGATAAAGGGGAATCTTTTAATGCCAGCGCATGAATCCAGATCACAAGGAGATTTCCTACTTGGGGTATAACTGCTCTTAATTGGCTAATAGATCTTTCTCTAAATGAGGCTACCGGAGTGAAGACCAGACAATCCACCACCCATACCAACCATTCCCCACTCATCCCTAGACTTCACTACAGTCAATCCACACAACCTAAAAGAACGTTCAGTAATTTCTTGAGTTATTATGTTGAGTCTCCATATTATTAAAATCTTTAGAAAATTAATTAATTAAAAACCCTTCCAAGTCACATTATGTTTCAAAATATGGAAGAGGATTAAATTGGAGGGTTTTAAACTAATATATCGTTTGCCTAAGAAACTCAGATTCTGGAAACATATGCTACCCATTCATGTTCTCTTCTGATGACAACAAGCATAACGTTTTGTAGTCAAGTCAGTATTAAACCTTCCCTACACTGCTGTAACTAATTGTCACAACATCCTAGAATTAGTTATCATTTGCATTTTATTGATGAATAAAATGGGGATCTGAGAAATTAATTACTCAAGTTCACCTTCCTAACAAATGAGTATTCTACATTCAAACACTGAAACCCATCTCCGAGATCATCCTCCTACTAGTCTAGCCTGCCTCTCTATTCCCCAAAGGCCCGGTAGTTAAAAAAAAATAATCCATTAGCAACGAATTAAAATGAGAAAAGAGCAAGCCCTGGGATTTTTCTGGCTATGGGAATCTTCCTAATTGCACCCATTCTAGGGCCTGTATGACAGTTAGTTTGGATCTCAAGGGAGGCCCATCTCCACCCACACTGGAGCAGCACACAGGTGAGCCTCAGGCATCCGGCCCCTCCCACTTCTCTTTGCCCCAGAATCCTAGAGCTGGAGCGTTGAGGGAATTGTAGAACAGCCTCTACTGCTGAGAAGTGGGGTGGGAGTGGAAAGCGACAAGAACAGTTTGTGCCTACGGGAATTTGCTCCCTGAGGTCCCTGTACTGATTTCGTTTGTGTCTGGCTTCCTATAAACAAAAGCAGAACAATGAGAGGAAGGAATACCAGGAGGCACCAGGCAAGCTGTGAGGAGAGGAAGTTTGCAGTGCAGCCGGCAGGGCGGTTCCCAGCCACCCGGTCTGCTGCAGCCGGCGGACACAAGCGGAGCTCTCCAAGGAGGAAAGAAAGTTGATGGGCTTGGGCGGGGGGGTCCCCCTCCCCTTTTAATAACAGCAGAGGGAGGTGTGGCTCAAAAAGAAACATCACTAACCGACCCTTGGGGTAACCTTAAAAAACCCTATGCCTTCCATACTAAGTCCTCCCAGCAATGAGGTATAAAATCAAAATCATCCCGGGGGTGAACTGGGAAGGAGAGTAAGGCAACTCCAGGTGAGATCAATCGAACTGGAAGAAAAGGAAATCGTGGGAACTAGTATAAGACTTGAAGGCAGAACTTAAGCTCCTCTGCACCGAATGACTTGGGTGGCGCCGGCAGCATCTTTCTATGCTGGGCGCCTGACCATCTCCTCTCCGCTGTAGTGGTGCCCTTTCTTTGCCCTCTGCTCGCCAGCGCGCTGGTGGCGTCCGAGCAGCTACATCCTGGACCCCAAAAGTAAAGATGCCCTGAACTCACTCCTTCACTCGGTTTTCTCCCTGGCTGGCTGTAACCCAGCTCCCCAAAGCCTCGACTTCCCAGGTCTCCCGGGAAATTAAAGGTTCTGCACGCTCATCATCTCCCTGACTTTCAGCATCCTTGGCGCTCGCTCCTCTTGATTCAGAGAGAAAGCTCGAGGCTGACGCGCCCCGTAAGGAGAAAAAGAGGGAGCCTCCAAAGTTTGGAAAACTTTCCGAAGGCTGAACATGGGGGCAAGGGTGCTGACTGGGAGAAAAAAGGGGTGGATCACCTGTTGAGGGAGGGTGGGAAAGTTTGTCTAGCCCCCACCTCCCGGAGCGAAGCCTCCTTGCTAGGCCCGGTGCTCACCTTGAGCCCACGGATCTCGCCGAGGTGCAGTTGAAGGCGGCGGTTCACCTCGCGGATGAGGTTGCTGTGGTCCAGCATCGCGCTCACCTTCTCGGCCTCCGCGCGCCGCAGGCTGCGGATCAGCTCCTCCTTGCTCCACTGCAGCAGCTCCTCGTCCGACACTTTGGACAGATCCTCCACTGCGGCGGTCGTGGATGAACCGGCGGGGGCTGAGGGACAACTTTCCGCCGCTGCTGCCGCCGCTGCGCCTGCAGCCGCCTTCGACATGGTATCCGTGCGGGGGCAGGTGCGAGTAGGTGGAAGAGGCAAAGCAACTAGCGAAGGCGCGGGCGCGGCTGGGCCGCCTCCGCCCACACCCCTGTGCGCTCGGGAGAGTCAGCGGCACCGCCAGGGGGCCGCTGCGTTGGGGCGGCGGGGGTCGCGCTTGGCGGCCATCCTACCTCGCCATCCCCGTGCGCGCACCCGCGAACCCCCAGGGCCGGGCGGATAACCGCGGGTTGACGCTTTGGCCAGTTCCAACTCCGCGCAAGTCCATGGTGAGGTGCGCCAGGGAGCGGGAGCAGACGTAGGAAAACCTTGGAGACCAGCTAAGGGCACCCAAGGGGCTGCGCCCTCGATCCCCTGCTCTCTCCTCCTCCTTAATTCGAGACTGTCTCCCTCACACTGTGTCGCTCACACACGCACTTTCCTCCCCCTTTCCCAGCTGCAACCACTGGCTCCTCTGCTCTCCTGGCCGCGCGGGGTTCCCGGGCTGCTCTAGCACCTGCCCAAAGGCTCGGCGCGGCCGGCCGGCTGCGCCCCTCCCGCCACCTTTGCTGCGCCTGCCGCTGCTTCTGAGCTGATGCTCAGGGAAGCCTTCGATTTGCAGAGCCCAGCCTAAGAGGGGTGGAGAGTGGGGGACCAGCAGGAGGAGGAGCCTGGAGCGGGCGGGGCAAGGGGGGGCGCCGGCAGGCCGCAGCAGCACCTCCCGCGCAGGTCAGACGCGGCTGCCGCTCTATTGCCACCTGGGTCCCCGAGGCGCGCTTGGTGCCATCCGGCGGGTAGGGCTGGGGGCGCGGCTCCTTGAGCCTGGCGTGCGGGTGGGGTTGGTATAGAAAGCAGGTGCAGAGCTGTTGCCGCCGGGATTTTGGGAGGCTCGCGCGCGCCACCGTGTGACCGAACGCATTCTCTGCTTACCAGGCTTGCGGTCAGGCAGGGAAAACTGCTGCTGACCAATATGAGAAGTACATGGTATTTAGGGGGGATTGGGGGTTTGGAAAGAAAAGATCTGTGCACTTTGGAGAACAGGAGAAAAGATAGATAAAAGGAATGAGGATGTAAGAAAATCCTAATGCTCTGAAAAGGGGAAAATGAGGCTTCAGAACACTACTGTTGGACCATCCACCCCACCCCCAGGCCTTTGTCTCTTCTAAAAATCCACTACTTTGAGAAGAAGCTTCAGGGGACCGTACTGGATCTTTTAATTTTTTATTTGAAAAGCATCAAAATCTTTGGGAGAAATAAAATTCTCTGCTTCTTCCTGAGGCCTGCATTTTAAGGTCAGTTCAGTTGCCTGCCCTCAGAGCAAAGAGAGGCCCCATAGGCAAGCAAAATACCATCCAAGGAGATTTCCATTTTCCTCTCTGCCACAGGCGACAGCGCACTACTAGGTCAGCTTTCTAGGATGGTCATGTCTGGAAGGAAGAGTTCTGAGTTTCTGTGTTCTATCTTTGGGCTACCCTCTGGTGAAGTGGAGCGAAATGGGCTTCGAGCTGAAAATACATTGTTTCCCTAAAGAAATGGATTTCTTAGATGAAGACAGTGCCAGGAAACTGTCCTACCTTACCCTACCCTGGGCTTCTGCTATAGGATACAGAAAGAAACATCTCCCTTTGTTAGGATGGGGTTTTATATTAGTGTCCCTGTACCAGCTGGTCAGTGTGTGCCCCCCTAAAGCTGTCACTTTTTCAACAATGATCAGTTGGGGATGGAGACCTGGTTTTCTGGATAGCAAGGAAAGGTGGTACCACTGCCCCTGACCAGGAAGCCCTTGATGGTCTCTCAGTTTGCTAAACTTCACCTAGGCTTCTTCCTAACTATGGCCCTCATCCTCCCTTTTCAGAGCATTTACCGTAGCAGACTTTCAGTTGCGAATTTATTCTTGGATCTATAAGGATCTAACTCCTATTCATCAACCTTTCAGTTTTACAACCCAGGAATGTCTTTCTCTGCCACCTAAGAGGCTTATCTTTGATGCTTAATTCTCAAGGAAGGAGGAGCCTATCTCTGTCTCAGTGGAGGGAAGGAGCCTAACTTCATCACATTCCCTTAGCAAACACAGAGGGCCTCCTCACAGTGACCAACCCCCAACCCAGTGTCCTCTGGTATTTTCCACTAAGTTCATCTCACTCCTGAACAATCCTTTTGTTTCATGACATTTTATTCAGCCTCACTCCCTCTTGAAACAGTCTTGAATAGTCTTCTTTCCCTATTTATGTCTGGTGCAATTTTTCCTTGGCACCTCCACTTGTCTCACCCCCACAAAAGGCTCTTGACACAGTTCCTAAGACCATTGTGGACAGGGGAAGTGTGAGTCAAAACACAAGTCAGAAAAATATGAATCCTATCTCAGTTACTTATTAGTTCTTGTCTTTGAACAAGCATCTAACCTTATCCACTCTCAGGCAGCTAGAAATGAAATACAAGAATGCCTTACTGAGGTTTCCTGCAGAAATGCAACCTTGTTATTACTGATATCCTAGCTTGGCAGCCCATTGTCTGGAAATAGGAATGACTGCACCACAGGTGTGTTCCTCAGGAGTCCTATTCTAAACTGAAAGATCCAGTGCCCTTCTCTGCTAACTGCCTCCAAGTCACTAACACCTAAGTAGTCATTAGAAAGCAGATGACTGCAATAGGAATTGGATTTGTGATAGAATGACAAGGCAAAAAGAAACCAAAGAAAGAGTTCTCCATAAATTTATTTAGAGTAGCCAGTGCCTAATATTGAGCTAGGTTACCTTGATGAAATTTTAATTATGCTAATTTTGGTCATTGATTTGGGATGATTATTGAATAAATAATGTTGTTTTATATTGCTAAAGCTGACTGACCTTCAGCCTGAAGCCCATCAACTGACAGATCTGTGTGCAAAAACGCATGAGGGCCGTTGACTGCCAGTGTTGGGGATGCTTATCATGCAGCGTTATTAGTGCAGTAGTTAGCAGATACAACTGCCAGTCTAAGTCCCTCTGGTGGCATCTCAGTACCTCTCATCAGAGTGCAGCCACATTTCTTAGCAGAATATATAAGACAGGCACAGTTTGGCCCTTGATGACTTCTCTTGCTCTATACCCCACCCCCTATCTTGCCTCATCCTTCATATTTTTCTAGGACCAAAGGACCTGTAGCTCCCAATTGACACTCTCTGCACCTTTGTGCTCCGTGGATGATACTCTCTTGTAAGTGGGATGTCTTCCCTGCCTTATTCCCTGAATGATTCCCTCAGGATCCTCCATCTCCTCCAGATCCCTGTCATTGCCCACCCTTCTCTCTCAGAGATGGAGGTGAGTCCTTCTCCCCTCCCACAGCCTCTAGTGTGCACCTCTAGCCAAGCACCTAAAACAGAATTAAATCACAGATGGTCCTGACTTAACAAGGACTGGACTTCCAATTTTTCAATGGAATAACAATGCAAAATCAATAGGAATTCAGTAGCTGCTGTACTTTGAATTTTGACATTTTCCTGAGCTAGTGATAATGTCATACAAAACTCCATGAGCTGCAGCTCCCTACCAGGCACACAGCCATGAAGATAAACAAGCAACACTCTACAGTATGCTGTATTCTAAGTGCTGATGCTCAATAGGTTAGGGGTATTAAGTGCATTTTTGACTTAATGATATTTTCAATTTATGGTTTATGAAGCTGTAACCCCATTGTAAGCCAGAGAGCACCAATATCAATAATTACAAGTAAAGGCTCAGGCTGATTTGGTCAAATCCTAACAAAAGAGTTTTATCTGCAGCTAGGATTCAATACTCCTTTCTGTTTTCGCTAAACCACACAAATTTCTGTCCTGCCCTTTATAACTCTGGTGGAATTAGTGACATGTTTGGAAATACTGTCCATTATATCCTCTGATGCTTTAATTATTGCTGAACCCTTATCCAAGTGTTCTCTTGGGAATCTCCTTAGTTTTCAGCCTGCAGATACTGTGAAAGATGCAGGTTTTTGTGTATCCTCTTTGCACAAGCTTCTAGGAAGTTAGAACTAAATTTGTGGCCCACCCTCAATAATTTTGACATGACTTAACATAATTTATTGACTTCTATCATTTTCTTTTTACTTTCAGATTTCCCCTCCAGATTTCTTCCTTTTTATCTTGTTCTCTGTGTATCTTCGTAAGTTATCTTTGCTTTGTTTGTTTGTTTGTTTGTTGTTTGTTTTAGGAAGGAAGAAAAGAGAGGAAGGGAGGAAAAGCAAAGGAGAAGAGCAGTCTTGTCTTCATAGACCCCATGTTTTCTCTCTCACACTTATCTTAATATTTGTTGACTTTGGATGTAAGTGTCCCTCCAAAATTCATTCATGTATTGTAATTTAAACCCCAAAGTGACAGTATGAAGATGGGATCATGGCAGAATTAATATTGTGAAAACAGCTTTACTACTAAAAGCAATCTATAGACTCAATGCAATCCCCATCAAAATTCCAATTTCATTTTTCACAGAAGTAGAAAAATCAATGCTGAAATTCCTATGGAGGCACAAAAGACTTTGATGAGCCAAAGCAATCCTGAGCAAAAAGAGTAATGCTGGGGGTACCAAAATATCTGACTTCAAATTATACTTTAGAGCCATAGTAACCAAAACAGCATGGCACTGGCTCAAAAACAGATACATAGACCAATGGAATAGAGGACCCTAAAGTAAACCCACACAGTTACAACCATCTAATTTTCCATAAGTGCACCCAAAACATATGTTGAAAAAAGTACAGCCTCTTCAACAAATGGTGTTGGAAAAACTAGATATCCACAAGAAGAAGACTAGACCCCTCTCATCCTAGACAAAAATGAATTCAAAATGGACCAAAGATCTAAATGCAAGATCAAACTTTGAAACTACCAGAGAAAAACTTAGGGAAACACATGAAGATATAGGCAACAACTTTTTGAATAGGACTCTAATTGTTCAGGATACGAGAGCAAGAATTTACAAAAAGGGATTTTATCAAATTAAAAAGCTTTTACGCAGCAAAGGAAACAATTACCAGAATCAAGAGACAACCTATACAATGGGAGAAAATATTTGCCAGATATTGGATAAAGGATTAATACCCAGATCATACAAAGAGCTCTAAAACTTAAACATCAAAAGAACAAGTAATCCATTCAATAAATAGGCAAATGAACTGAGCAGATAGTTCTCAGAAGTACAAATGACCAATAAATACATGAAGAAATGTTCAACATCCTTATCCATAAAGAAAATGCAAATCAAACCTATATCTCACCCTAATTTAGAATGGCAATCATCAAGAAAATAAACAAATGCTGATGAAGATATGTAGGGGGAGAACCCTTATATGCTATTGGTGGAAATGCTAGTTAGTGCAGTCACTATGGAAATCAGTATGGAGGTTCCTCAAAAACCTAAAAATAGAACTACCTTCTGATCCTCTATACTTCTTCTAGGCATATTTCTAAAGGAATATAAATCAGCATACAATAGAGATAACTGCACATCCATGCTCAAAGCAGCACTATTCACAATAGCCAAATTATGGAATCAGCCTAGGTGTCCATCAACTGATGAAT